ATATATACATAAAAAATATTTTTATTCTAGCTACACCATGTAATCTTCTGACGAAGGGATGTTGAACACCCGTTAACTACATGTGGCTCCGCCACTGATTAGTTTCACCTTAAATTATTTTTAAATATAAAAAATAGAAATTCTTTTTTTGAATATATTAAAAGGAAATAGGTGTCACGTACAATAAAATTAGCATCCAAGAATATGATCTAATAATTAAAATAATGGATTAAATATCATGAGAGTTCGCGTTTAAATTGAGGAGGTGGAGTAGCTAGACTTAAAAAAAGGAAGTGGTTGGGTCGTCAATTTAATGGTTCCAAAGGATAATGATTTAGAAATTGAATTTGACAGGAAAAAGAGAGAAAGCATCATTAAGGGTGAATGACCTCATAACAGAATTAATTCTCAGTGCTCTTGCTAATATAAGACTTATTTAGTGGTTTGTTAAGTTGATCTTATTAATTAATCCACTAATTAATACATTGTGGTTGTGATAAATATTAAAGTTGAAAATAAACATACACATAATCATGATCAACTCTCTACTACTTAATTTGTCAATGTGCCATTCGCGAAACTATGTCGGAGCGATATAGAATATACTCTTTTGTCCTTTTCCCCTTTCCTATAGTTGAATATCATACTCTCATGTCGTAGTTTGATTTTGCACTGAGTTTAAGAAATAAAGATTTTTTTTTTTAAAAAAAAATTATGATTTAAATTAAATGATAGATGTTTGTGTGGTCATAAATTGTTTTATTAGTAATAAATTGTGTATTTTTAATTATCACTAAATATAGAAACATATCATTTTTTTTAAATTGACTAAAAAAAAAAAGTAAGTCATAGAAATTGAGATAGATAAGGAGTAATATATATACTTCAACTTTTCATAAAGAAACATATATGCTATATTCTAATGTTTTGATGATTTAACAAATTAAGGAGTCAAGTAGAGGAACCTGATCCTCTGAGTGGTTGTCGTCTAGGACAAGTCAATGGACAATAGTTGTAAATCTACCACGCTTACTCTAGTAGGTGGGCACGACAACTTAGTCGTAGAAGCTCTCAATCAATGGGAAACTACTAGGTTGTTTTTGTTCATCCTATATTGGAGACAATTAACAAGAAACAACCTAATGTTTGCATAACACGATTTTAAAAAGCAAAAATGCCTCTCTTCATCAGCAAGAACAAGCTCATACGAATAACAAGGGATCTGATAGAGTTATGTTATTGGTAAAAATCTCAAGTTATCTGTTGTGAGTTGTGTTTCCTGTCCTAACATTGTAAGATCTATTTCTATGCTATAAAGGATTATAAATTATTTCAGTTGTATTGTGAGTAGCATTGAGTTCATAGCTAGAGTTAATTGTGTTGAATTGTGTGGAAGTCTACATGAGCTAGAGATAGTTGATGTAGTGGGAAGTAGAGGTATTACTTTGTGTCTTGTCATAGAGTTGTTACAAGGTTGGTTGGATTAAGAGTTTAATCCTTCGTAAGAACTTGAGTCTATTTACGAATTGCTTGAAGTCCGTGAAAGTTGCTGAGAAATCCTATAAGACATGTGGTGATTTTTTTCTCTCTTTAGCAAGAAAGTTTTCACGTAAACATATTTGTTCAATACTACAAGTTGTTTGTTCTTCATTGTTCTTAATATTGTCAAGGGACCTAGTCTCTTGACTTATGGTGGACTGATACACGTCATTAATATACATTAAGATTGTCTACAAGGTATATGAAAAAAGTGTGGAAAATTTGGGAAAAACAGATTCTTGAGAAGTATAGGTTAAATAATATACTCAAAGCAGATCGGTCAAAATAAAGGTTTTTTCGCCGCAAATCCTAGACCTTTTGATAACTAATATCCTAAAAATTAAAAATAAATGCTTAAATCATCGACGACTTCTTAAAGTTTTCTGCATATTCTACTTAGACACCTTAACATATCATTTTTCCTATTAGAACTCTAATCTTACAAAAATAAATACCTATTAAACATTTTTTGACACCTAACCAAAACATGAAATGCATGTAATTCACATACATATGATGTGAAAAATAACGAATCAAATAAAGACACATGACATTTTAATTTAAAATAATTATAAATATGAATTTTAAGTATAAACAAATCTAAATCTAAAAAGAAAAGAATTTCAACTTTAAAAAAAAAAAACTATACACCCTCACCTCCCCCCGCAACCCCATCGCAGCCCACCCCACCCCGCATCTTCCTTTCTTCTCACCATTGACCATTGTTAACTCTCAACATAGAAAAATTGGAGGTTATAATATATTTATTATGAATTTACCATTTTTATTTCTCTCGATGCCTTCTTTCTCATTTCTATTTAAATTGATAGTGTTTTCTTGAAAGATTTGTTCTTCCTTTGTTTATTGTGATTTCGAATTTGCTTTTTTTTCTTTCCATTTCTCCTCGATTTGTGGGGAAGTAGGGGTATGCGTATGGGTCGGGGAAACGAAGAAGGAGAGAGAAAATATTTGAATAATGATCTCCATTTTTTTCGGCTAAAAGATGTGGATGGTGTTCTCCATTTTTTCGGACAAAAAAAATGTAGATGATGATCTCTATTTTTCGGCAAAGAACTGTGATGGTGATCTCCATTATTTTCCAACAAAAAAATAAAGGGTTAACTCTACATCTGAAAAATTAAGTACAATAATAAGAAGATTAAAACCAAAAAAAAAAAAAAAGGAAGAAGAAAATTTGTAAAAAACAAAAAAATGGTGGCAGGATGCTGTGGTCTTGAGAGAGAAAGAGATTATTATTTTTTAAAAAAATAATGAAAAAAATAAATAAAAGAAACGGGAAAACATTAATATATTAATTTTATGCGCCCACCGAAGTGTGTATTATACTTTTTGTGCCACATTTGCATAAAGTGTCTAAGTGGTTCAAATTCGAGATGATACATATGTTCAATAGATGCAAGTCCTAGTTTAGGTATCTAAGTGAATTATGCGGACAATTTTAAGAGATCAGGAATAACTTAAGCCAAAAATAAAAAAACGTTATGATTGCAGTGACTGAATTGGAGCGAAGGTGGAAAAAGCCATGAAGAGAAATTTGTATCTTTATTATAATTACCTCTCTATAATAATAATGTGATAGATTATCATGAATTTAGAAAGTGCAATGCTTCGACCCCATCTCTTAATTAACCTCTCGTTGTCTTTGGTGTTATGTTAGTTGCACGAGTAAAGTGAGAGATGGATATAGAAGGAAAGTCAGACAATCACCAACAATAGGTGTGACGTGATCGATATTATCCTTCCGCATTTAATTAGAGATTTTTAATTTAAATCCTTACGAAACTAGATCACAAAAGATGATTCTGACCTAACTCACATCTCAAAAATTAGCTTGCTTTTATGAAAAAAACTCAAAGTACTTTTTTCAGGTTTGACGTTCAACACCACTTGAAAGTGAAGAATTTCTAGTAGGAAGAAATGGTTCACCCTTTATAATGAAGTATACATCGATATAAATTTTATTTAATCAAAATAGTAAATATCGATCGAATATCATAGGTTAAAAATAAATAAAACATGAAAGAGGGGAATATATTGGTGGTTTGAAGGGAGCTTTTCTAGAGATTTTAAGGTCGAGGGTCATAGTTTGTTGAAGTAGGGTTACCCCACCATTGTGGGACCCTGTAATCCACCTAAGTAGGGCCCACAACCTTAGCCTTTTGGTCTGGCCTATCATTCTATTTGGTTACATTTTTCTTTTTCAATTTTGGCGGTGTAATTTTTAGATAAAATTACATATACTTAAAATAGATAAAGATGAGTTATTCAAATACTAAGCATATTGAAGAAAAAAAAATACACTCCTTCTGCTTAAAAAGAACGGAAAAGAGCCTAAAATACCCTTGAACTATTAGAAATGGTACAAAATTACCCTTCATCCACCTATAAGTCTTAAAATACCCTTGCTGTCTACCTTTAGGTCCTATATTGCCCTTTATTTTTAACGGTCCCAATTTAAACCCAATTAATAAATCATTAATGGCGTGGTGATTTTCTATTGGCCAGCTTTAAATAATCTAAACTAATTGAAAACCTACTTATTCTCAAATTAGACCCAAATAAAATCTACCCGCCCCAAGTTCATTAAACCCATCTTCCTCACAGGCCTTTCTGAATTGAATCCTGACCTTGAGTTTGAACATCTAAAAAGATATTTGATAAGAGATGTGCATAACTTGATCATTTTGTAAAGGTTACTGTTATTAGACATGGTGATGATACACACATTGGTTGATCATAAAGAGGTTGAAACAAGTTTTGAGTTCTTAGTTTAGGTTATTTAAAATCTGATCAATAGAAAATTGTCACGTCATTAATGAATTTATTAATTGGGTCTAATTTGGGAATGGGTAGGTTTTTAAATTAATTTAGGTTATTTAAAATCTGATCAATAGAAAATTGTCATGTCATTAATGAATTTATAAATTGGGTTTAAATTGGGACCGTTAAAAATAAAGGGCAATATAGGACCTAAAGGTAGACAACAAGGGTATTTTAGGGCTAATAGATGGATGAAGGGTAATTTTGTACCATTTCTAATAGTTCAAGGGTATTTTAGACCCTTTTCCGTAAAAAGAATAATTTATTTTCCTTTTTAGTCAGTTTCATAAAAATGATCTCTTTCATTATTTGGCTATACTTTTATTTCAAAAAAATTTACGTGACATATTTAAGGCCATAAAATTAAATGAATTTATGATCATTTTTGAATTATTCTTTTTTAAACAGAGGAATCATACAGTAAATCATACTATTCCCCATTATACCAAACCTTTTCATGCATTTCTGGACCCAAATTTGTTCCTAACAACTGCATATAAATGATGGTGTTTCCTCTCTTCCCTTTTTACCACTCTTCTAACTCTCTTTCTACACCATTTTAAGGAAATCAAAGTAAGTTGTGACAACAAGCTAAGGCCAATTTTCCCTTCTTCCTCTTTCTCTTAGTCTAGCCAACTAGCTAGGCTTGTTTACGTACTCGCGACATATACGACATGAATCTATCTGTAAATGGTCAATCACAAGTACCTCCGGGCTTTCGTTTCCATCCAACTGAGGAAGAACTCCTTCACTATTACTTGAGAAAAAAGATAGCTAACGAAAAGATTGATCTCGATGTTATACGTGAAGTAGACCTCAACAAGCTCGAACCATGGGACATTCAAGGTGAGACCAAGCTAGCTCTTTCATCAACTTGTGCATTATTCATCAATATATCAAACAAACTATATATGTCATTACAAAACTATTTCCTCTGTCTCACTTTATATGACTTACTTTCCATTTTAGTCATCGGTCTAAAAAAGAATGACACATTTCTATATTTAGTAACTTGAAAATGTTTATTTTATCCTTAATGAAATGATTTCTAGTCACATAAGTATTAATCGATTAATTATGTACCAGAGAAGTGCAAAATAGGATCAACACCACAAAATGATTGGTACTTGTTCAGCCATAAGGACAAGAAGTATCCATCTGGGAGTCGTACCAACCGTGCTACTGCTGCTGGATTCTGGAAGGCTACGGGTCGTGACAAAGTGATATACGGAAACTGTAAGAGAATAGGGATGCGAAAAACCTTAGTCTTCTATAAAGGACGTGCCCCTCATGGCCTGAAATTAGATTGGATCATGCACGAATATCGCCTAGACGACATCTCCACGCCTCAACATCAGCCCCCTCTCAACTTTTGTGTAAGACTTATCGATTTATGATGAATATTGTCGATGTAAGTAAGTTAAACTCATTTATTCTTAACATCTAGGCCTCGGAATCAGCTGCTCCGGAAGAGGGTTGGGTGGTCTGCCGTGTTTTCAAGAAGAAGAGTACTGTACTTCAAAGCTCCTCTGCAGTAATGTCTAAAACTCTTACTCATGAGAATACAAGCACTCATCATGACGGTGTTCTTGATCAAATACTCATGTACATGGGAAGATCATCCAAACAACAACAACATGAAACCAAAAGCAGCAATATTGTCCAACAGGTCAACAACAACGACAACGACAACGACAACGGAAACATTCAATTTGATAATAGTGAAGACAGTTTCCTACACCTTCCAGAGCTGGTGAATCATCATCAAGATTGCAATTTTGATGATGAGATGATCATCATGTCAACAGAAACCGATGATCAACATTATTCTTGCATGATTAATAATTACCAAGAGGACAATGAGGCTGCAGATCATAAAAAAAATGGACCTACTTGTGACTGGTTAGCCCTGGTGGCTTCTCAACTTAATGGCCACCATGTTGAAGCACCAACGAACAATAATACTACTCGATCCAATGATGATGATGTTGAATTTTGGAGCTATGCACAATCATCAACCTTTGATCCACTAAGTCAGTTCACTGTATGAATCATACTTAGATAAACTCGTACTGTATAGGATATAGTATGCTACTTTTTCCTAATACTTAACGTTGTCCTTCGTGATCATTGTATTGTTTAATTATATAAAACAGAAAAATACTCTCAAATATGGTCTTTTCTGAGCATGATATCATATTTCTTGATTTATACAGTATGTATGCATACTGTACGTTCTTTTTTATAGGCTAAATACTTGGAAATTCTTTTTTTTTTTTTTGATAATACAGTTGATAAACTAAAGTTGCTATGATGATTACATAGGCAAGAGGCACACTGAATCCACTGCATATATAAATTATAGTTCATCTGATTCTGCCGTCCTTTTCTTCATTATTACATTGTTGACAATTGATCCCATATATACTTTATTTTTATGTCACCCTCTAAAACGTTTTAATCTTTTTCTCTTGTTGGTTTATATTTTATAATTTTATGAATCTATGACATGACATATTGATAATTAAAGCTTTAGTTTGTAGCTAACAAATCATTGTAAAGTCACATTCTTAAAGATGACTACATAAGTGAATATAATTGGTAGCTAAACTAATTTCAATGGTATAAAATTAATTGAGCATCTTCACATTTGAAATTACCAACTGCAGTTAGTTAGTATTACTCCTACTATCAAGTTGTGCGTCTACTTTTAATTTTCAAGTTGCGTTTTTCGAAAGTCAATTTGACTAATTTTCACAGTTAAATTAGATTACATTAATTCGATATTTTTTTAAAAAAAATTTAGATATTCAAAAACTATACGAAAAGTACTATAAATCCAATTTTTTTGCATATCAATATGATGAAAAATACATTGTAAAATATTAGTCAAAGTTATTATCATTTGACTCTAAAAAAGGAAATTATGACAATTAAAAGTGGACGGAGCTAATAATCACATCAATTTATTCATAGATTGTAGAAGTACTACTTATGAGAGCTTATGAGAATATGAAATGCTTAAAAAAGGCGGAATGACCTGGGAAACCTCTTGCACTTGGCTCTGTTTGTCAGTTGAACCCTTAAACTCATGGCTATGCCAACTGAACACTTAAACTCATTGAAACACAATATTTTAAACACAATATCAAATGCTACATATATAAGTCGAGATTAAGGTTCATATTCTACTTTAATTCACATGAAATGCTCAAGTTAATTATACAAATACAGAGAGACAAAATTGACAACATAGAAATTAAACAAAAACTTCAAAGTAAAAAATGATCTACAAGATGTGCACTACATCACTTTCAACCATTTCAAAATTGATCATGAGATCCTGTAATCTCAATAATAATTTTTTCACAACTCAAACTCGTCACCAAACTTTAACGCCTCAGAGGCAGCTTCTTCCTCTTCATCATCAATCATAAAGTACGGGTTATGTACCTCGGGCCTGAATTTAAATCCAGTAAACAAATAAAAAGCCAGAGTTGCAACTTCCCCTGCCACTACACTAGTCCAAAGATACCTATACGATGTAATCGTCTCCAATGCATAGACTACAACTCTCGTAAAGTAAATATAACATATAACCACGACGTAGTACTGTCTAAAGAGTGTCAATTTCATCAAATTCACAGCAGCTTTACCGTCAGACTTAGCTGCTTCGCGTAAATTCTTGATTGACCAAACAATAGGGAAAAGAACCGCGCAACAACAAATCACATCAACGAGTAAAAACACTTGTTTCCATGTCACCCATTCATCTCCATAAGGTCCATCTTCATCAATCACAACTTGAGCTATGTTTGCTATAACTTGTAGTGGTATCACAATCATCAAAACTTTCTTCTCCTTATCTTGCAAATAAGGTTTGAGAAATGACCAGCCCGTCCCAATCAACACGATCAACGTAAACAACATAATTCCTTTCAAGAAACTGAAAATATAAAACAGGACATCCCATCCATGAGCACTACCGGTTCGTTTAATGTAAGATTTATCCTCTGCTTCACACAGCAAATTCAAGGCTTTCAATATGATTACAGCCAACATGAAGAAATGAATCGCGTGAATGGTTAAACGCTTCTTGAACAACAAGAAAGTCCAAAAAATGCATAAACAGAAATAAACAAGAGAAAACACGAAATAAATCCTAGGCAAAATGGCTTTGCCAGCAGAGAGATAGTCTCTATTTCCTGATTTGGCATCAAGATTATACATTGCTGATCGAACGGTCATTGATACTTTTAATTGTGGACAACAATTAGCAAACACAAGAGAATACTGATCAGAATCTGTTTCGACAAAAAGGGTATCGAAAGAGGAATTGTCATGAAGTTTATCAAATGTGTAGACAAGCTTGACAATATCAGATTGAATTGCGCAGGTGATCTCAGCATCCTCAATTTGTTCAAGAACATGCATCCACGTATCGCGAGTACATAGAAAGAATCCAACTTTCGAGAGATCAAGGCTTGAAGGATTGCTAGGGACACCAAGGGAGATTTTTGAGACATTGAGTTCCAATCTACCACGATGAGTGAAGCCAAATTCATCGAATGGTATAATGGGACGATCATCAGATCGAACCTCAGAGGATCTGATTTCAGCTAGAGAAGGTGAATAAAAAAGTGATGTGACAAAGAAAAAGAATAAGAGAAGGGAAAATTTTGGGATCGACATTGTTGGATCGATTAGATAAGCAAAATGGTCCTTTTTTCGTGATATTTACATAATGCTTTAATTTTGTTTGTGTGTAGTATATGGAGTTTAAGAAAGAGAAGAGACACAATGTACTTCTCCTTCTGTTCTAAGAAATGGAATTAGTATTGCCTAATGAAAATACGAATGGGGAAATGCTGTTATGTTTACTTCAGTTCGTTGGATATATGAGGCTAAAACTATTTTTCAATGGTGTCACCCGTTCGAATTCCATGGTCAAGAGGGGAATGTTAAACATTTTTCACATATTAGATTTTCTTATTGACCTGTAAATTATGTAAAATATTCTTTTTTTTAAAAAAAAGAAGTATATTAGTGTCATATATTTCTATTATTTGACATTGTACTTTATACTAAGTGTTTTCAGAACAAATGTATGATTACAAAAGTTCCATATAAATACATAAGGTATAACATATATATATATTCTCGATCGTATGGATATGTATATTGAACTAGAATGCTATACTAAATTTCCCCCCATCGGCATAATTGACCAAACTGATCTCCACCTAATTCGCACTGAGTTTTGGACAGACATTTGAGCTGGGATTTGCAATGGTGCCTGCGTAGATAAAGACGAGTTAAAATCTCATATGGTTACTCAGTTAGTAGTTTTTTTCATAGAAAGTCGCTCAACTTTCTTTTATAACATCAAAGTCATTCAACTAAGGATTTTTCTCACAGAAACTTACATATACTCGCATAACAAGGTTGTTTGGAGACAGGATCTTCTTCAAATGGCGGTGGTACTTGTCCGTAAATCATTTCACAACTCATGTCTTCAAAATCTGCATTATATCCAAATTGGATGATGAGTAATAGACATATACTACTCTCCATGTACAAAAAGTGATCTAACTGCTTGTCCCCTGCAAATTAACAAAGTTGAAGAACACTTACTTGGATTCATTGTTAATGGAAGTCCGAATTCATTTGTGAAGAAGTCTTGTGTTGGTATTTTGCACATATTCACACACATTCCTACACACCCACTGTTCTCCAAATACCTTCAATCACATAAAACAATTTGATATTTTCCGCAATTATAACAGTAAAATCACACAAACTATTTTTGTCACAATGGATCAATCGATTCGTACCTGCACTTTTTTATGTGAACTCCACTTTTCTGCTTCACCCCATCTACCTCCACTTCGACAACCTTATTCATAACATTATAAATGAGAAGCTAGCAATTACAGAAATTCAAAACACAGTAGGCCATTCTTTTTAGGCATAATACATAAATATGCCCTTTTAACTTGACTTTAGCTGACATCTACGTGCACAAATAGACACTTAAACTTGTAGAACAAATAGACACATTCATCCTACGTTTGTCCTACATGATAATTTTGTATCCTATGTGACATCCTACATATATTAAGTCACGTAGAATATGTGTATCTATTTGTTCAATTTTACACTGGAGGTCATAAATATCAGTTGAGGCTAAGTTAAAGGGCATATATATAGTTTGATTAATGTACCTCCGAAGGACCAACTAACCAGAAGAAGAAAGGCACAGTAATTGTGGCGTTGAATTCTGCTGCCCACTGGGTTGGTGGAAACAATTTCCTAAACTGTAAGCATCCAACAACAAACATATTATTTACAATTATAATACTTTTAAGAACAATAACGTTTAACATGGAGAGGTTAGTACCTGAGCAGGAGCTCCAGGAGGAAGCATAGACATGAGGACTTCACGAACAACTTGCTGCTGCTGTAACCGTGACCTCCCCTGCATCACTTTCCGCGAAACATCCACAAAACTATCGTAATCATAATCAAAAAAACCTTTTTTCTTTTGATCAGACTCTTTTTTACTGGCTCCAAAATTCTCCATCTTGCGTGCGAATAGAGTCATGAATGCCTTCTCAAACAATCCATCATTGTACTTTGTTTTCTGTCCTAATGGTGCTGGTTCCCCTGATGGCTCTGCTATCCCACATCGGATACCAATTTTAACATATCGACTCTGGCTTTGGCTTTGGCTTTGTCGTTGCGAGTGATAAAAGGTAGTATAATTGTTGAAAGATGGGGATGAATAGGGGATGCTAAGTAGCACCATGCTAATTAGCTATGTGTTAAAGCTGATGCATATCGTGTGACTTCAACAGTCCAGGCAATGGACCAAGATTTCATTGTTGCATTTTCTGTTTTGCACACAAAAACTTGTCACCACACAAATGTGATCCACCTAATTAGTGTTTAGCAGCCTCTCCTTTTTCACAACAACTTACTCTCTCTCTCTCCTTTTTTATTTGTCCAATTTTAACTATTTACTTGTTCCTTTTTTGACAAATCACGAAAAAACAGTATTTTTTATCTATTTGAGAGTTAATAATTTTTAAAAAGATAGTTAATTTTGAAATTCTATCAATTAATTAGGGTAAAATAATAAATTTGTTATGTCAATAATTATTTCCTTAATAGATATATCAAGTCAAAATTGGACAAGTAAAAACGAACAGAAACAGTAAATGATTATTAAAGAGATAAAGATTCACTTTATCAAACAGTGGATGTTACTCACATGCGAGAGGTACGGGGATCGATACCCCGCACCTCCTTTTTTTCATTGTTTCTTTTAGATATTACAAAACAATTTCATCCTTCCAATAAATTGAACAAAAAAAAGTGTTATTGAGTAATTGCTATTGGGTTAACAAGTTTCTAATGGTTCTGTTAAAAAAATCGGGTTATTATTTGATATTGGTTTTTTAATAATGGGTTACTAGGTAAATCGATAACTCATTAATACAATAGTAATTTACTACTTTGCCCTATATAAATGTTAGATATTAATATCAGTACCTTATAATTGGTTATTGTCTTTGTCCTTTAGTCTTCAATTCACATCATTATCCTAGTTTTTTTATTTGTATTGCGCTTGTTTAGTTCTTTTCGTGTTAGTTAAAATTGCTTCTATTTTATGAGCATTCGATAATGTTATATTATCGTCTTGTCACGCCAAATTATTGTTGGAGGAGTCATATAATTATTTTATGAACATTTTCTTATTGATTAAATCGAAAATCGAACCATTAAGGACCAAAATATTTTATTTTTTAAAATTAAGGACCAAAAATCGATAAACAGAACACCGAAAACTGAAAAAAAAAATCTTTTGGATTTAATTATTGATTTAACTTATTTAAAAATCAATAAATCAAACTAATAATACATAAAACAGAATCAAACCGTGTTGGACGTAAATCTTTTACCATAGGCAGATTAATCTATCCTCTATAAAAAAAAAAAATGAGTTATCTTCCTCCCACTTGTGGTGTGAACTCACTATGATCATAGCAATACCCCCAATCGTATATGCACACTATCCTCAAATCATTATGTTATATTTTAAAGTTTTGATGATTTAACAAATCAAGGGACTTGATAGAGGGATCTGATCTCATTAATAGTTGTCCATAGATAAATGGAGAACAATTGTAAATGTGGCAGAAAACTTTATTTTAAATCTCGCATGTGCAACTACTTTGAAAACCAAAAGAAAAAAAAAAACCCTTCTCCCACATTTAAATGTGGCAGAAAACTTTATTTTATTTTTCTTTTTCTCAAAAAATATATAATTAACAACCAAAAGTTAAAGGTTGGTTTTCACGTGGGTTGAAAAATAACCCATTCTAGTTGCCACCGAATTAAGGTCACAGATAGCACATAATTTTGTTGTTTATCACATAGGTTAGATATGAACTATGAACACGACAAAGAAAAAGTATCAAGTTTTTCCTTATGCGAGGATTGAACAGCTTATTACCGTCACATCAAATTCATCTCAACCCTATTAATTTTTCATGCTTAAAATATCAAAGCAAGCTTAAAATATAACATACTCATGAATATAATCACACATATATACACATATGTTACCAGTTATCTATTTAGATGCAAGCAAGGCTCTTGATGCCAATTGTTGGAAAACTATATACACAGCAGAAGCATACCCGAATTTTTACTGCTTACATGAATAATAGATAATCAATACCGTTTATGCTAGAACACATAATCATGCTAGAACACATAAACTTGTTGAATTTAATTCGATAAATACCTCTTGAAGCGTGAGCAGATACCTTCAAGTGAATCCCCAAGTTAGACGGACCTTCAAGCGAATCAAGATAGACAACAACTATGGTCTTCTACAGTGATCCCAAGTTCACATCTGAACTCTCTCAATACTTGGGTGGGCAAGTATCGAATAGAAAACCAATCAATCTAGGGCTAGAAGAATCCCTAATTATAGAGATTCCTTCACAGTCCAAAGAGGAGAACCAAACACACGTTATTTTTCTTCAACCGAAAAATACACGCTAGTTTTCCTTTTATAAGAAAAATAACGCCTCTCCCCTTTTCCCTTTAGAATTAGGATTCTGAGTTCTAGTTAAATATGGGCACTGGAGGGACCACCGAATTAATTACTGAGACATCCTATTATGGAAATAATTCCAAATAATTAATTTGAATTCTTACCATAATAAATTACAAATCATTCCACTAGAAATTCGTAATTGCACTCCTCTATTTATATTTCGTAATTCCCCATTAAACACTTATGTAATTCCCCATGTTAAGATTTCAGATACTAATCAATAAATTAAATTACTGACGAATTTAACTTAATGATTAATTTCCTTTAGAGCACTACTTAACTTATTTCATGTGTCGGATTCATAAATCCACTTGCAAGGTTTGACACGATGAAAACTTATAAGTTTCTCAAAAAGGCATATCAATCAATCTCTATAACGAGACATGGATTTCATCAACTAACTTATTATTTCACCAATATATATTGTTATCATCCAACTTACCAGGCATATTGACCCATCTCAGAATCTCACCTTTTAATAAATCAAAACGATAATTAATATATACAGATCATAATAGTTATATCAGGATTAAGAATATAAGTACATTTAATAGTTTAGAGAATATGTTTTGTCAGTCAGTCTAAAATAACTTTCTCTACTCGGTCCCGTTCAATACATACAAAATGCACTAGCACAAGAAGTTGGAAATATACCGTTCCCATAATCAAGATAAATTACCTATAATCTTGTGCTACAATCGTACCGATGGCATGTCCAATTTACATCCTAGATTGTGAACAAAAAACTTTATACTTATAAGAATCGATGATTTAATCCTCTGTGTATAAGCTAAAACTCTACACACTAAATCATCTACTATATAAGTAAATATACATCATAAACGAATATATGATCTATTAAAATTGAGCAAATATTTATTCTATAATAAATATTATTTCTTAACACATGGTTAATAGTATATATCCCAACAATAATATGGTGGGTAATAGAGTTATTGTTTTGTTTCATTTTGTAATAGAGTTGTTACAAGGGGAAGGAAGAGTTTAATTTCTTGATTGCAAGGGTTTATAATCTGAATCTTAGCTCTTTGTTTAGTGAATAGTTGTTGGTGAAATCACATATCGTGATTCTGTCCTCCCTTGAACAAGAAGGTTTCCACGTAAACATCCTTGTTATTACTTCAAGTATTATTTTTTTCTGTATTGTTTTTAATATTGTCAAGCGACCTGATCCCATACGTAACTTGTGGTTAATTCATACAACTTTTTTTTTCTCCGAAAATTCATACAACTCATCACATAAAATTTTAGATAATGATAAATTCAACTCTTAAATCAGCCCATAACCACCATGTTCATGTGCGAAAATTGACAAATAGATTGGGAAAAAAAACGAGAAACAAGGCAATAAATAAAATTAATTAGTGACACTAAAGCAGACCAAAGTGTCACATGCCAGCAAAATGACACTTTTATTCCTATATAACACCTGGAGTTTTTTTAATTTTATTTTATATTCTTTTAAATGAGCTAATTAATTGGGTGTTTGAAGTAGTCATTTATACCCTATGCATATGTATAACCCAACAAAAAAGGTCCATCCAGCACATGCATTATTGCAACTTCCAACAGCTAAAGCACACTCACATTTACTAATATTATTGGTGCAATTAATATACTGTCCTCTTTTATTAATTCCAACTATGCGTACGGCAATTTCATCTAAAAGCTTAAAAAATAAAATGAAAAGAGAAATGTTAATTGTTTAATTATATTATGTCTTGACTTAATTGTTTAATTATATTATGTCTTGACATGTCCTTCATAAGAGGACCTAATTGTTTTTCATGAGTCAAATAGGCGAAAATATATTTTTGCTTCTTAGGTGTCGGTAAAATTTGAATGCATAACCTATTGTCTGCTCTGATTCCATATTTAAGCATGTGACGATATTATGTAAAAATTTAAACCGTTACAAAGAACATACTAGTGTATATAATAATAGGTCATTGATATATTATTTTCCAATACTAGGAACCATAATTGTGAAGGTGAAGAATGTTAATAGGAGATATTACACTAGCATCACCATACAAGAACTTTTTTGCTATTATAACATTAGCAGCTTCTGTTGGATGATAAGCATCCCAAAACACATATTTTCCTCTATCATTACACATCACAGAGCTTGTGTTAGCATCTTTTCCCTTGTAGCAAACAAATGGTGGAAAGTATCCTCCACAACATGGTGCATCAGCATTCTCAAATCCTATAAATTTCACAAAACAAAATATTGTTAATAAATTAAATGATCATAAAGTCGGATTCAGAATTTGAAGTATATGATAAAAATTGAATTCCTTGTTCAAATATATGATTTGGGCAAAAGTTATTAGATTCACGTGAATCCAGTACTTTAAGACTAGATTTGACTTTGGTCACCAATACCATCACTACAACTAGTTAATGGTGTTGAAGTGTCTGACCAACTTTTAAATGAGTCGATCATACTTCAAAAATGTTAATAGAGCAGGTAACATGTTATGAGTTCAAGTCTCATTGCATAATAGATCGACATGAATATCATGAGTTGTCAAGTAATAAAACCAGTTGCTGTTGATACCTTCTTCTCGATTCTTTTATCATCCGTTATAATGAATTTGAAGTATATGATAAAATTGGATTCCCAGTTCAAATATATGATTTGGGCAAAAGTTATTAGATTCACGTGATGAATCAGTACATTAAGGCTAGGTTTGACTTTGGTCACATCACTAAAACTAGTTAATGATGTTGAAGAGTCTTGACCAACTTTTAGATGAGTCAATCATACTTCAACATGTTAATAGGGCAGGTAACACGTTATCATGAATTTACGCATGTCACACGTCATATTGAAAAATATAAATTTTTAAACAAAGAGTACGTATATATGTATTCGTCAACATTATAACATTACAAAATGATATGGTTACACAGCTCAACGAAGGAAAGACGTACCGTGTTGTTTATGATTTAGTATGATCTCTCTAAAAACATCATAGGAATTAGCATATATGAAGATGGCTTTAGGTTTGATATATTTGTTCAATCTATGTAGCTCCACCTTGAGTTTCTTATTGTAATTTCTGATTAATGTGTTTACCTCCACAGAGCATTTACCCTTTGATATTAATCCAATGGCACGCATAAATGGAATGCACCCAAGAGGTCCAACTCCAACTACTACAAATTTTCGAGCCCCTAATTTATGCAGTCTCTATAAAAATAATAATAAAAAAATAAAGAGGTTAGAAAATTAGCTAAAACACTTATTCAAAGATGAGATTTAAAATATTTGTGTATTTTTTTTAAGAGACTTAAAACTTATTAGAGGTAAAAAGTGAAGTTTGAGAGGGTAACATTTGTGTGGGTGTGAAAACTTGTTATTGGAGGCCAAAAAGAGTGAAAAGTTTAAGTTAAATTGCTCCCCGTCTCATTTTACGTGAAGGTATTAACATTTGAAAGTCAAACTTATCGAACTTTTTTGAAAAATATATATGTAAATTTTATTATACAAAATATGAAGAATTTATACTCGAATTTATATGTAAAATCATGTATTTTGACTCTCTGGATGGGTAGTATTGTTTTTGCAATGGACTTGAAAAAAGAAAATGTTACTCATAAATTGGAAAGAGGAAATATAATATCTTTTTATTTGTTTTATTTTTCCTTTTTGACAACTCATTCACTATAATTTTTCACATGACAGATTTAAAAATTATAAGATTAAAAGGCATTTCTGTAAATTCTAAAGCCTTCGTTAATTTTAAAAATTTCGTATCAAGTCAAAATCAGATAAATAAATTGAAATAGACGTAGTACCTGAAGGTTCATAGTCAAGTTAGAAATTAGGAAGTCTTGGAATGTTGTTGGAGAAACCTTTTCATTACTTACAAAAGGGATAGATGGTTGGAAATAGTTTATAACATCATTAGACCCAATTGTTATAGAAAACATTGCTTTCTTTATGAATCTCTTTGCATTTTCCTCTCCCATTGAATTCACAATGTATTTTCTGCTTTCCTCAAAATTGCTGATCTGTTCCCTTAATGGCACTCTCCCTATCTGCAACATATGTCATCTATCAGAATTTTAAAATATTTTACCTGCTATAACACGTTAAAATAAAGAAAAACAACTTTATTAGATATACATTCATATCATATATACTAATTCTGGAAAAATTATGTATCTTACCGCTAATTAAGAATTTACTATCATATATTGAGCAAGATACACCTAGTTATATGTATTTTTGCTAATACACTAAAATTGAGAGAGAAACGAGCGAGATAGGAAAGGAGATAGTCATGTATCAGAGATACATGTGAATCACACTAGCTATAGATGATACATGTATCTGTATGTATCTGGTGTGAATGGAACGTATTTGGGATACCAGATACATAGGAGAGTGGTGAGCGACATGAGAAGGAGTCCACTTGAATATAGTGTATCTAGAACAAATTACACCTAATTTTGACTTATTCATATATATATATATCTCAAGATATCTGGATGCACCAAAATCTGGTAAGATTTGTTTCGTGATATTGCAAACTAGGATGTATTTAAGTAATTAGCTCTTAAACTAGTAAAATTTATGTAAGTTTCCCTTAAGTAAAAATACAGATTACAGTTAGTGTCGGATTGTCAGTGTATGTAAGTTAAATCTTATACGAGAAAAAAAAAAGATGGTACTAACAAAAAGAGTTCCGGTTGCATCCAAAATTCCTGAAGAACCTGAAGCATAATTAATTCCAATATTTGTTGCATTTGACTCCACATTTGGTGCTAAATATGGTGGAGGAAATGAATTATCTCCAAGAGCTTCACCTGCATGAGAAAAAAAAAAGATTGTTTAGTGACCAACAAGGTACCTAGCTAATTGTCACACCCTTTTAGCTAAAACAATCAAATAACTTTACAAAAAAAAATTAATAATACTCCCTCTCTTCAAATTACAAAGGCACAATTTCCTTTTTAGTAAAAAAAATAATAATAATTTAATTTTACAATTCTATTTTGTCGTTAGTCAGATGATTTAGTCACATAAAATTTCTTTTAACTCCATGCACAAATCCTTAGTGTCAGATAAATTGGAATGAGGGAAATAGGTTTTAAGTTATATACACTAACATGTAATAGCAAGTTAGTATCTACTTTGATCAAGTTATAACCATGAAATGATGCTTATCATAGAAATTTACTTGTGATTACCTTATAAGTGACTTGATTTCACAATACTTTTTACGTTATCATCAGTACATAGAACTTAAACTCAGAAACATGAATCAAGTCGTAAAATTACCAACGATATCGGAAATGGTGAGACCATTGGTGAATCTTCCAGTAGGGTGGCCATGAGAAGGTTTAAAATCTATGCCATATGGAGGAGAGTCAGCTTTAGAGAGGGTAAACAAGAAGTTGTTATTGCCAGAATCAACCAAAGAATCTCCAAACACAAATGTAGCAGTTGAAGTAGATGAACAAAAGGGCAGTACATAAAACATTTGGAAAATGAATATTATTAGTATTGTCATAGTGAAAGTTGCAAGATTATGAAGGATGTACATTATTTCTATATATGTTATTATTACTATTATAACAAGAACTGTATGGTATAGTTAAATATCAACAAGTATATATATGTAGTAATTTTGATGTGAATATGAAATGGTAAAATGTCAGGCACTTTGCATGAGTTGCTAAAATTATTAAAATTGTACTAGGTACCTTTGAAATGGTCATTGTAGTAATCTTTTGAAATTGATACTATATCTAACGTCATATCATGTGAAGATATTTGAAATGGTCATTTTTATGAACTTTCTTACTGAGGTCCAATAATTTTGTACATGTATGTAAAGGAAATATTCTTCCAATTCCTGAGGTTGCAAAATGTCAAATATTTAGTGAATTTTTTAATACGTTTATAGGAGAGAGGAGTATATTTTAAATAAAATAGGAATATTTAGGTGATATTATGGTCCTAAAAGAAATAAAAGTGATATTATAGAGCAAATTCTCAAATATGGTGACTATCTAAGAAATTTACTCGAATAACTAATATGTGCACACTAGTCTGGTTAATCTAGTTTCGAGCCTAATAAGATCTATAAAAGAGAAGAGCACTTCTTATCAAGAACTTCTGTAATTTCATGTCTAAAACTTGAGACGCTTTATTAAAGATTGAAAAGTACCATCCATTCGGCCGCACACCAATTGATGATTAGTGGACAATCTTCAAAGGTGCATCTGCGCAAATTCATATTTAATCGAATTTTAATGTGGATATTGAATATCGAACGGAGAAAAAAGGTGCATCAACTCCCCATGTTGCATTCATAATCAGATACTATTGAAAGAGTAATAAAATTAAATATTTACGTTACCCACCTTCTTTGGTTATCTTAATTCCGTGTATCAATTCATTGTATTTAATTTATATTCACAAAGTAATAAATATTTATATTTATATTGGATGGAAAAACACATTTTTAACAAAACTTTCCAAATACTTTGATTTTATTTTTTTCCAAATACTTTGATAGAATAATAATTATTTTATAAATAAAAAATGACACTGTTGTGACGGCGGTAAAGTTGTTCTCAGTAAACGATTAGGATTGTGATGGAGTGGTAAGTATTGTCACGTCCCGAGCCTACACCCTAGACGTGGCTGGCACTCGAAGACCATTGCTGGCCTCAAGCGAACTCTTGGCTTGGCTTACTAACTCAGCGGAAGACTTAACTCATCACATACACATTTATGAAGTAACTAGAATGTTATAAAGGAACATTCAACTGGCCATTAAGGCAAACTCAAGTCTTTAACATATGAAATGAAAAGTAAAGACAACTGAATTAACTAAGCTAATTGACTGTCTGACTATCTATGAAGCCTCTAAACAACTGAGATGGATGTCGAGACAGGCCCACGACATCTTAATGAACTAATACTAAAACTGAAAGCAATGTAAAGGAGTCCTCTGGAATGCAAAAAGGCTCACCAACAGACTCTGAACTGCTCACTGGATCAACGAATGCGCCGGATGCCGATCCTAATTACCTATGTCTGCATCATAATACGATGCAGGCCAACTGGCATCAGTACATTGAATGTACGAGTATGCGAGTTGGAATGCTAAAGCAACATAGGCTCGAAAGAAATTATGAAAGAAACACTTACATTGGCTCTTATCAACTCCTGAATACTTAAATAAACTCATTTCATTATAAAGCAATTTAAAACAAGTGCAATATAAAGAAAAATTGTTGAAAACATGCTGTCAATTCATAATCATAATATCATAAAAAGACAAACCATGCTCCCTCTCAAAGTCTACTTGTGCAATGCATGAATGAAGTCCTATACCCCCATTCACACTAAGCAGAACCCCTTGAGGAACCATGCTACTACTGCTGTGGGAGTTTCTCTAACCGACAACCATCACTTAAGAACTATAGTGATGATACATCGCTTTACCTCACGTTGCCGAGGCCCATCATATACCTTGTCGTGACTTAGGAAGCTAACTCACTAAGTGGATCCACTAGTCTATGCGAAAAAGATTCATCTAAAGAGTATGACCCTTTTCTACCCATGATGGCTACATGGTTTATGGAGACTTGAGTTAATGTGAACTCGCATCCCCACATTGGTGCTCAATACTTCTCCTAAAAATATAATATTTGCTCTTATGTTTAAAAACATACTTTTTCTGTGATTTGAGATTAGTGCTCAAAACTTAGCTCAAAGGCTATCTTGGAAATCAAAGTTTCCCCTCTTTCTTAATTATGAAAGCATTTACTCTTTTCTGAAAACTAGCCCGAAGGCTCTTTGGAAATCGAGGTTTCCTTTCTTGTTTAAATGTGAAAACATTTTAAACTCTTTGGGAATACATAGTCACCATATACTTTTGAAGAAATGAACTTCAAACTTTACTCTTTACTGAACTCAAAACTTAAGTCTTAAAATAAAGTTAAAACGTTTGTAAAAGACTTATGAAAACTTGAAATGAACTTCTCTTACTTGACTATTGACTTCTCTTGACTTTGATCTTAACTGCTCTCGACTTGACCCTTAACTGATCCTTGAATTGAATTATGGATTCAAGGATTAAGATTTGTGATTGGAAGAATCTCATGTTGTTTAGGAATGATTTTAAATAGCTAAACATGAGAAAAGACCGAAAATCAATATTTGAAGGTGGGTCTGCGACGCGGAGAGGCTTTTAAATTTTGGTTTTGAAAATAACTTTTGAGGCAGAACACCTCATGTCAGCTTCGCGACGTGGAGCAGAATTTTTCAATTCTGGGAACAGGTCGCGCGACGCGTTTCCACACTCAAATTTCGTCCAATGAAATTTCTTCTTCGTCTTCCAGCCCCAAATCACCCAACCTCAGTTCTTTTTCTCAAATTACCTTTAGATACAGATACCCAGCAAATGTACCTAAGAACCTAACTCGAAACGATTCTATAATGCAACGTAACAAACTCAAAAACTTCTCAATTCATCCCAATTCAAGAACAACATTCAAATTCAAGAATTCATGTCAAGAACATCAACTTTCAAACTCTTTTAGGACAAATTTCGTTGAACTAAACATGTTTGGCGCGTGGGTGAATGAACCCAACACTATGAGAGACTCACATACCTTGTAGGGATCACCCCGACTAAATCAACAAGCTAATCCCGACGATCTTGACGAATCTTTGCTTCTTATCCTCTTTTTTCCTCTTCTTTTCTCTTCTCTCAAAAACCCTAACTCTTTTGTGAAAGCGTAAACTGAACCAAATCAGTTTAGACCCTAATTAATTCATTAAAAACGAATTAAACCAATTGGGTATGGAAAAGACCAAAATACCCTTTTAAAATCCGGGTTGGACATTTCCTTATTCGAACAGCCCAACTTCCAAAGGGCATAACTCACTCATACAAACTCGAAATCACGCAAACTCGGAGGCATTGGAAAGATCATTCCAAGAGTTTTCCAATCATATCTGGAATTACACCTAACTCATCCTAACCTAGGAGTTATGGTCGTTTGAATTTGACCAAAAACTCACTTTTCCTTAACTAAATTTCCAGGTTTTAATTCTTTCCAAAAGAATGACTATTTCCAATTATAAGTCTCTTCCTAGTTATTTCAAATTGCGAGATGTTACATTATTTTTTTATATAAAAAAAAAAAAAGCAAATGCATACCGCAAGACAGTGGTCTAGTGATTTTTTATTAATAATAAACATAAAAAAAAATCTTAATAGGAATAAGTATAAGCAAGTGAGTGGTAAGTACTTCTTCATCTTTAATTAGAGTCTTGAATTCGAGTCTCCTGAAAGCACTTTACACTCAATGTGAGACTTTCTGACGTAAATTCAAATATAATCAAATTCCAATATAGGTACGGACACCGGATGAAAAAAAAAGTTGCTTTCAGTAGCCAAACAAATTGTCTGCTAGCTACCTGCCATTAATAAAGGTAGAATTTGGTGAGATCCAGTAATTGCCTAAAACTCTCTCTAACGCAAAAGGCAAAAAGCAATAAATACTAAACAGGACCCCTTCACATTCAACAATTCCTTCTTCACCACAAGAAATAAGTTAGCAAATTTTAATTTTGTGAACAATTAATTAAAGAGCAAGACGGCCTATTTTCTCCCAATATTTACTTTCATACAAATGTAGCAATAAGTGTTATCGTTACAAGTTTTAAAATTCTGTCTTTTTTAAATTACGTATTAAGTTAAATAAATCACATAAAATAAATCGAAGGAAGTATTATCTAAGAAAGAAATAGAAATAGTACTCCCTCCGTCCACAATTGTTTGTCAGGGTAAGGTCATGCACATCCCTCAAGGAAAATTTAATACCAGATGTAATTTGACTAATATAACCCTACTATATCAAGAATACCAAAAGTCCACATAACTTTTCAATTGAACTACACAATCATTAAGGGTAGAATTGGAAAAAAGTGACTAATTATTTCTTGATTGTTTAAATTGACAATTAATCTTGGACATCTATTTTTAGTATATCTACCAAACAATTGTGGACGGAGGGAGTATCTATTAAGCTCTCTGTCCAACAATAGTTTTCCACTATTAACTTTGCACACTTCTTAAGAAATTATAAATAGAAAAATAATTTTACTATATCACCTTTTGAATATACTTCCTCCGTTCACTTTTACTTTTCACTTATTCAGAGGCGGAACCACCCTATAGGGTGAGGGTGCAAGTGCACCCGTTAACTTCAGAAAACATTATGTGTAAGATATATATCTTTCTTGAGAAGCTGACATAAACTAAGATATAATTAAATGTGCACCCATGAAGAGTATATGTTTGTCATTGTGCTGCTGGTACAAGTTAGATGAACCACTCACAAGACCGGGGTTTGAATCTAAGTACAATGTTATTTTATTTTTATTTTTTATTTGTCAAGTTTATCTTAGAGCTCATATTTGAGCTAAGGTAATATTGGTGCACCCGAAGTCTTCAGATCCTGGGTTCACCTATGCACTTATTCCTAAAATAGATTTTCATTTTTACTTGTCACTTTTAAAATAATTTTTTTTCATGTTTTACCCTCAGCATTAAATACTTATTTTTCAAGACATCATTTAATAGAGGATAGTTTGGTAAAATATTCATATCAACAATTATTCAATTAATGGGTGTGTCAAGTCAAAGTGTAACAAGTAAAAATGAACGGAGGGAGTAATAAATACAATGTCTTGAAATATGTAATAGATATATAACTATAATTAATTATAAGGGTAAATTAGGAACTAAGTGTAGAATTATCCATTAATTTCACAAAGTGGACAAGTATTGTTGGACATCCTAAAATAGTACAGTGGATAACTATTATTAAACGAAGAAAGTATATACTGTCTCGTGCACAAGGTATTTCGCATTTACGTTTTATAGGCAATCTCCAATAACAAAAGCATCAATGGTTGATCTACAGCTCAATTCCTTGAAATATAATACACAAAAAGGCAATTTTATCGTTGCTCGTGATCCTCGATTGACAAAATGAAATATTTTAAAGTCAACAGAATGGGGTTGGCTTTTGCAGTTTGTGGGGATGGCAATTGCCAAACTCATGTGGCTGGGGATACTTTAGCAATTAATACAAGCAGGTTTGGAGGGTCCATATCATTACAACCCGATTAAATTTGGCTTCACTCCTAAAAATTCTATATCATGAGAGGTAAAGCGCTCCTTAATAAACATGACTTTATACTTGGAGAGATTTGAATCTGAGACGTTTAATTAAAGATGAAAAGTATTTATCACTCCATCAAAATCCTGATTGATTTTTTAATCTTTTTCGGGAATGAACTTTTGAGTGATGAGAGAAGGCCCTTAATTTAGGGGTGTACAAAATCGAACCGAAAACCGAACCAAACCGCAAATTGAGTCAAACCGAAAAAAAAATCCGACTAGTGGTTAGGTTTGACTTGGTTTGGTATTGGAAAAAAAAAACCCCACTATATTTGGGTTGGTTTGATTTCAACTTAAAAAAACCAACCCGAGACCAAACCAACCCGACATTAAATATATAATTTTAAAATTTTATTTTATATGTAAAAATATTTACTTTGATATAATTTTTAAATATTTCTTATACTTTTTCATAGTTTTCATCTTTTAATATATTATTTCATGATTGAAAATTAGAATTCTTAATGACCCAATAAAGATTATAGTCAATAGATATTGATAATTATAATAAAGCTTAAATCAAAATCAAATTAATACTAATGCAAAAAGAAAGTCAATTCAACCCTAAGATGATAATAATATTGAATATTTGTTCTTTAATTTTACATAGGTTAAGACAATTAAAATGCATAATCTAATTTTAATTTCCTTTAATATTTAGTCATGTCACTAATACTTATTAAACTTATTTTAGCATGATTTAGTACTTTTAAATTATGATCATTTTCATTATGACTTAATAATTTGTAATATTTGTTTTACGCGATTTCATTATTATTATTATTTTGTATATTTTTGTGTCATTAATCATATCATATTTTGTGTTATTTTCGTAAGAATCACTTAGATAGTTGTATTTTGGTAGGACTAAAGAAATATTTGAAGTACAAGTAAATTATACGTTTGTACGAATACTTTACCGGAAAAAGCCAAAAATCTGAAAAACCCGAAAAAATCCGAGGTTGAAAAACCCTAGTTTTATTGGTTTTGTTTGGTGTATAAATTCAAAAATCCAATGCAAATGGTTTGGTTTGATATTTAAAAAATCGGAACCAACCCAACCATGTACACCCCTACCTTAATTATATTGTTTATACAAAATTTTAGCAAGATCTTTTATTATTTTAAGTGATGATAAAGCATTTAAATTTTTAATTAAATTCCTACACTTGTTAGCCAAAACATGGCATTACATCCCTTTTTATTGTCACGTAGCCACTTCGCATGCTTTAAGACCTTCCTAACAAATATAGCAAGACCCTTTACTATTTTAAGGGTGCAAGGGATTGGGTTTTTTCCTTTCTATTTCTCGCGGCTATTGATTTCGGGTTGAGAGTTTGCTTGCTTACTTTCACGCTTTCTTCAGCGAGCTACTTAAAATTTAAGAAAGGGGCATTCTTAACATATATTATTACTCTAACATGTTTTTGGTGGCAGGTAAATGCGCTTCATTAGTTACCTGAATTAAAAAGGACTCTTGAATAAGTAGACCGGATTTATTCAAATTTTTTCATCTAAGAGTATTGCCATATAATATATATGTTGTTTTGTAACAACTTTATGTTTTATATACTCCAACTTGTCTAAGTGTATGCTATAAGTCATTGCAATTAAGTGCTTCCTTAAATAAAATAAGTGTGTTTATATAGATAACCGAAGCTCATAAGTTAATTTTATTACAGCTATTGGAATCATTTTTTTTTTCTTGAAACACTTTACATCATTCTATCTAACAAAAAATATTCCATTATGTATTTCTAATCTAAGGTAGCACTTTAAGTTATACATATACAATATACAATAACAATGTAGAGACCGACTCAATTTAAACCATTTTCTATGAAGAATTACATGTTGTGATAGGTTAAAGGTGTTAGGATCAAAATATTTAGGTGTCATTGGAAGTTAGCAAATTAAAGTGAATTTTGAAAGATCATAGGTAAGAAGATAAATGAAAAATATATCAAAAGAGATAAAAATATTTAACGTGATTCGATCGATCGATCAAAATCCATGAGAGGAGAGAGCAATTCACTATATAAAAGAGAGACTACAATATCGAGAGAAATAACCTCACACAATTCACTCAGAATAAAAATAGTTCACAATAGTGATTACATATCACTTGTGTCTCATTGTTTCTCCCTTTACACAAAATTCTCAAAACCCCTAGGACTACATTGTGAATGCTACCAAGTTAGAAGAAATAACCCTCTATTTATAGAGTCATAAATCTTTTCCTACGAGGAAAATGACTAGCCAAATATGGAAACTTTGTGTTTTCCTTTTAGTAGAAAATTCAACTATGGTAAGAAACTCAGGACAAATTCCCAATAAAAAGTTATGATAAAGTAACAAGTACTCCTTATCTTGATTTCGAGTCCTAAAAATGGAGTCGTCATAGGTAGAAATCATGTTACCCTCCCCCAATTAATCGTAATAATACTTACTAATAATATATAGGCAAAAAAAAATAATTTGTTAGTTGCATTCTCATATCTACATAAGATCCTAATTTTTATTTTGTGAGAGGTTCAACCACCACCAAACTTGTTTTTTCTTAGTCTTCTAGCAAACTTTTTTTCAATGTAACATTAAAAGTTCACTCTTTGTTTACGTGTCTATATTTATCTATATCCCCCTTTCTTCCTCCCACCAAATTTTGAAACAAAGAACAACTCAACCCCACACGTTATCCCTCCAATAAAATCCAAGCCAACAATATTGTCTTGTCATTTTATAATTTTCCATAGCCCTTTTGCTTATATTTTCTAAACAAAATACCTTTCCTTTTAAGGTATTGTGAGATTTATTTTTTCTTGTATTTGTATCCTTAGTGTCATTAGTTGTTTTTTTGCAACATCTAATGGCACTAGGAACTTTAACATAATCTTTGTGACATACCAAAGCAAGGTTGAAACACAATCTTTGTGAATCTTGACATCCTAAAATTCACTCTTTTTCGGACAAATTAATATGTCGATTATCGAAAGGGTGAAATCAACATTCACAATGGCAGGGAGAATATTGAATGAAGTCATTAGCTTCTTTGTGTTCACAGTTCTTGACGTTCTTGATTTTTTGCTATGTTATATTTACAGAGTAATTGATTTCATAGTTGAAGCAGAGTGGAAGCCCTGTTACTGCTCGTCGGTTAAACAAACCATAACGAGCAGTGGCACAATCTTGGTTTCCGAGTCCAAGATTGTGTGTCTGACATCTTCTTCTTCTAGCTGCAATAAATTGCAGCTAGAAGAGATATCAGACACATTGTACACGCGATCTTCGCTAGTATCTGAAGTGTCGAAATCTACTATGAATGAGCTTAAAAGGCTTAAATTGGAGAATGCTGCCCCAATTTTGAAAAGAGGAACTCTGCGCTCAACTTTTACTGTTAACTCATCTATTGTCGAAATGCTGCAAGGCAAAATTGGTGGCTTAAAATCAAATATTGTTCCAAGATGGTCGGATTGTGATTGTAAAACTTGTAATTCTTGGACTGCCTCTTCTAAAGATTCACTTTTTGTCCATGTTGACGGTGCCAAAGGTATGTATTGACAAGTTAACTACTCTTCTCTCTTATTTCCCTGGTCCAAAATAAGTGTCACTTTACCAAATCAAGAAGGTCTTCATTACTATGCTTTTATTCAAATCTACTGTTACTCAAGATGAAAAGGTAATTTGAGAAAATATAACGAGTAATTTAGTCATATAAACCCTTGTAATTAATGTCACTAAAGGAAATCTCAGTTGATGATTATCTGAACTTTCACCTTTCTATTTTCAAAATAAGAAAGAGGCTAATACTGCTATGCTGCTAAAACGACACTTATCTTGGACAAAAGAAGTACTTTTTTATAATTTTAACGTCTTTTATTTGTGTTAATAAAAATACAGAGAACGTACAAGAAAATGTGATTTTCATACATGGATTCATATCATCATCAGAATTTTGGACAGAAACTGTGTTTCCAAACTTTACAAAGGCTACAAAATCGAAGTATCGATTATTCGCGGTGGATCTACTAGGATTTGGAAGAAGTCCGAAGCCAAATGAGTCACTTTACACCTTAAGAGAGCATCTAGACATGATTGAAAAATCAGTACTAGAACCATACAATGTGAAATCTTTTCACATTGTGGCACATTCATTGGGATGCATATTGGCACTGGCACTTGCTGTAAAGCATCCTGCCTTAATTAAATCCCTCACTTTACTTGCACCGGTAAGATACCAATACATGTCTAAATTTCTTTTTTTATTACGATTCGAAATCGTTCAATTTTATCAAAATATTTACATTTGGTATTAACAGAGTCCCACGGGGAAGGTGAAAAGAACTCTATTTAGTTTTAATTGATGGATCTTACGTATCCAAATTTTCCACAAAAAAAAGTCAAAATTTTGTCCATCAACTTCTAACTATAGTTTAAAATTAACTCAAGGGTAAAATTGAGACATTTTTTTTTTACAGTGGGGCAGGGATGGAGCTAGAAGTCACGTTACGGAACATGTTCAAACTCCTTTTTTTTTATTAAGAAAATTAACTATATATATATTCAAAAATCAAATTTAGAACTCAGTTACTAACATCTGATGTCATTAACATAGAATGTAGGACTCATAAAGTTCAAGTATGAGTTGCTCAATTTCGAATATACATGAGCAAATGTTACGAACCCCTGATGTTGTTATCCTAGAAGTATTTATAGGATGATAAATCAAATTTAGAACTCAGTTACTAATGTCGTTATCCTAGAATGTAGAACTCATAATCAAATATACATGAGCAAATGTTATCCTTAATTTCACGTACAACTTTATTAATTGATATCATTTTTTGTTTTCTTTTGTAATGATAAATATATAGCCATATTTTCCAACTCCTAAGGGAGAAGAAGCAACGCAGTATATGATGAGAAGAATCGCGCCGCGACGAGTATGGCCTGTGATTGCGTTTGGGGCATCGCTAGCTTGTTGGTATGAGCATGTTAGCCGAACAATTTGCTTACTCATCTGCAAAAACCATCGCTTGTGGGAGTTTCTTACCAAACTCATCACCAGAAACAGGTATTTTTGTCTTTGTTGTTTGTGTGTGAGTTCAATATTGTGCATTTTTTTCCTACCAACACCAACTATAGTCAAAATCTTTTATTGTCCAAACTACCTTCACCAATTTCACGTGTCTACTCCCTTTGCCCAGTTTATATGACTCACTTTCTGTTTTAGTCAGTCTTGAAAAGAATGATACATTTCTATATTAAGAAACAATTTTTAACTTTAATATGTCTATATTACCCTTAATGAAATGATTTATAGTCACACAAATATATGATCATTTATTTTAGACTACAAGTTTCAAACATCTTTTTTCTTTTTTTTTTTGAACGATGGAGAGTAGGAAAATTACTTGGAAGAGTGTTAGGTTCTTTGAGGAAATTAGTGACATGCATGAATGAGACTCTTATAGAGGAAAATAATGCGAGATTGATACAAAGGGTAAGTTGATCACATTGTATTAAGGTTTAGTGTTGGTCTAATTTAATCAAAACATAAATTATATTTAATCCTATTTTACACATTCAATAATATTCCTCTAGTACTAAGTTCCAGTACAACTGCACATCGTTCGAGTATTTATGATCACCAAACTTACGTACAAACTTCTATTTTACTCGTACCGCAAGTTCAGTGCCTTTAATATATCAACTATTAAGTCAATTAAAAAAAACATCTTTTAACATGATACGTTGTTATTCACCTTTTCTACCAAGTGATCATAAAGTCATACCAATAACTTCTTTCTTTTCCTACCACTGTGAATTTTTATTTGTACAGCCAATACCAGATCCTATTGCATTAAATTAGGAAGCAGCACACAACAACCTCCCAATAACTCTATACATCGCTGTTTTAATAAATGTCCATGCCAAAAAAATATATGATATAATGGGTGTTACTTAAATCAAACAACACCCCAACAACTGCATCTACTGCTCCAACCCACTTTTTTCTGGTTTTGGTTGTCCTTTTTTTTGGGCATGACCATCTCTTTTTCTTGGTCAAACATTTTACTACGTCGTTCATGTCAGGTAGTTCTCGATTATCTTATGTCGTTTTTTATCAGAAATTTGAAAAGATTGATTTTGTTAGTCAATTCGTAAGTCATCATAAGAGATTATTTTCAGGGGTAAAGTTGTCTTTTTCTCTTAGAATTAAAGGTTGATTTTTGATTGGTTGTTCTTGCATTCATTCTTTATAATTAATTAATCCGTATAAATTGTCAGCCAAGTCGGTTCTTGACCATTGACCCAAATAATAGCGTAGGGCAGTGGAATTATAATGACAACATGAAATTTGTTTGTAAGTAATTGAATTCTGTTGAATCATATTTTCTTCATAGAAAAAAAAAAACTTATTGGATATACATTGTCGGTATTATAATAATAATAATAATAATAATAATAATAATAATAAAATAAAAAAATAAAAAAAAGGATAGCTACTTATTTTTACAAACACGTCATACTACTAATGTTTAAGAGTAAGTGATTGCATAAATACCAACATGGGTTGGGGTGCAATGGTGGAACTGTTCCACCCTTAATCCGAGGTTTCAGATTTGAGTTTCGGCATGGAGAAAGTGTGATCTAGATTTAGTTTTAATTGGGGTTTCAATACGGGTTCCAAAGGCCGAATGGAAACCAAAAAAAGAAGTGATCGCATAAATATCTTTTGTATATAAGTACATAGAACTTATACTTTTTTTTATAATCTCCAATAAAAATAAATTGTTAAATCTATTTTAACAAACAAATTACCTTGATCAATCTTCTTTTCTGTCTTTCAATAGCATTAGTTTCTTGAACCGTAGTCTTAAAACATCGATAATTTTTTTTGATATATATATATATATATATATATATATATATAGATCATTGAGTCGAGCAATAGAATCAGTCGCTAATGCTTACATCTATATAAATGGCTTGTATTACACTCCTTTCACTATTGTGGCTCATCCCATTAATTAATCATATAGTCACATAAACAAAGTAGTAGACTTGTCCTATGACATCCAATACCCTAGACCCTATTAAATACGGAATGTTTTATACACCAAAAATCCTTTTTTTTTAATATCGTGTTTACTTATCATGCATCGATGATTCGATATTAACTATATATGCAGGATAAAAACATACTTAGTAGACGGATTTTGCTGCCACACACACAATGCAGCATGGCATACACTACACAACATCATTTGTGGTACTGCTGGAAAAATAGAAGGATACTTAGACATGGTGAAAAATCGTCTAAAAGGCAAAGTCACGGTGATTCATGGTGAAGACGATGAACTTATCCCTGTCGAATGCAGCTACAATGTACAGTCCAGAGTCCCTCATGCTCGCGTTAACGTTGTCAAGAACAAAGATCATATCACTATTGTTGTAGGAAGACAACAAGCTTTTGCTAGAGAACTTGAAGAAATTTGGAATAATAATTCCACAAGTAATTGAAATATTTTTACTAGTGTTTGATTATTTTCAACATCCTAAAGAAATGTTATTACTCGTTACGTACGTACCACATATCTTTTTTTTTTTTTAATCATAAGTTAAAAACTATATCTAATGAAGCAAAATTAATTTGGATATAGTGAAAGCTATATTGGACTAGTTTATTTTCATTTCCTTTTTTTTTTTTTGTTGAATATCGGGCACAAAATATCTTGTATTAGTACTGTTATTATTGAAGTGTGTAATCATCTCATTTTCTTAGATTAATCGGACCTTAATTTGGTTCATTAAAAATGTTGCCTACTCAATCGATCACTTCGTTCTTATAATAAAGCAGTGGATTTTTAGATAATTTTATTCGATTTAAGAATGTTCAATTAGTGTTTTCTATTTCAGATACTTTTAACATAATATTAATTTTAGTATAAATCATGCTAAGTTAAATTACTATTTTAATATTAATTTTAAAGGCTAAATTCGTAGAGCTTATCATTTCTTTTTGTTCTTTCCGGTATGTTTTATCAATTTAATTCGATCGTAGCATAAAGGAGAGATTAAAACAAATACTTCTTCTATTTCAATTCGTTTGTTTTACTATTTAATTTGATACGAAGTTGAATTTTGTGATTAATGATATATTGAATATACCAAATTGTTTTTATATTTTGTGTTCTTAAAACAAAATAAGATAAATAAATATTATGAAGGGAGTATATGATCACTAACCAATAATTAGAGGTATCCCGTGGATTATTAGTAGATAAGAAATTATCCATGCATGAAATATAATATTGTGAAGAAATAGATGAGAGCTCTATTACATATACTGTGGCTAAGAAGATCTTATACAGTAGTTGGCACTGCTATTAATAGCTCTTTCAATATTAATTAGCTAAAAATATAGTACTCTAACAATAACATGTTGGAAAATAATTGAAGAATAGATGCATTGGCAAGTGAAGGTGGACAAATAGGTGATCTTACTATTGAAATTTTTAAAGGACAAATAATGGAGTTTATAAGAAATAGACATCAAATCTAACTTAATTTTAAAAATTATTTTATTAAGTGAAGATTATTTATGAACATATTACAATTTACAAGCACCCTATTTATAATGTTAAAGAATTATTCCACTTATAGTACCCCTTCAATAGGGATGGCAATGAGCGGGGTGGAGTGGGTTTAAGGCTATGCGGGGCGGGGCGGGTTTAAGATTGTGTGGGACGGATTGTGGATCTTTTTTAAAACTAATGCGGGGCGGGGCTGTCAGCGGGTATATGTGATTTTATGAGGATTCAAATGTAATTTTAACTTAAGAGTGATCAGTGGCGGAGCCACCTAACAATTAGGGGTTCATCCGAACCCCCTTCGGCGGAAAATTATATGATTTATACATGGTTAAAATATTTTTTATAGGTATATATATATATAATAGATGTTGAACCCCCTTCGACTACTTCGTGTGTTTATTTATTCAGATTTTGAACCCCCTTATTGAAAATCTTGGCTCCGCCACTGAGAGTGATAGAGCATTATTTATTAAGATAATTTCTTTAAACCTACTAATTATATAAAATATTCAGATAGTAAATGAAAATGATTCAATAAAAAATGATATAATTTTTTACATGTTTTCCAATTGACCTCTAAAAAATAAATGTTTAAGTCATTATCTATTAAATTAATACAACTTAATGATAAAATGAATTTATTTTTATAAATTTTATTTTTAGTATCAAATTTAACTAGAAAAAGAAAATATTAAGAAAAATATGTTGGGCGGGGTGGAGCGGGTTGAAATGAAAAAAATTGATATGTGGGGTGAATTAAAAATTTTATGGTTAAGCTCAACAGTCAACCTGCCTCGCCCCGCCCCTCCCTATTGACATCCCTATCCTTCAAATTCCAAGGCTCTTTTTTAAAAATTAAAAAAAAATCCAACTTTCATTTTCTAGAGTGGTGTGGGATTTGACCTTGCCTTTACTCGTAAATTAATTATACTATAAAATAAATTTAAAGAAGGGGACATAAATCGAACCTCCCTTCTAACGTAGATTAGACTAGCGAACTATCTTGCTATAGACGGCATAATAATAATTAGTCAATCAAAGAACTAGTTATAAGTAGGATAATTGTTTATCATACACCTCAAATAATATAATTAAGGAGTCCTATTTATAATTGGTCCTATTAAAGTAAATGAAGGAGGCTCTGGCCTTATATCACAAAATTATACTAGCTAGGGTACGTTAAAATTTTAGCGATTTAGTTTTATAGTCCTTTATAAATTTATTTTTATTTTTATATTTTTTTAGAAATTTTTATTTTTATACATAAGAAATCCAAATAATAATATTTTTCTAGTTCAATTTGTAAATGGTTTAAGGGATCGTTTGGATTGGCTTAAAAATATAGTTTTTAAGTCAAAAATAAAAGGGATAAGGGTCTGAAAAATATCCCAACTTTGGTCGAATTTGTTGTTGCGATACTAAACTTTCATAAGGACCTATTACCTCCCTAGATTGTTTAATACAGTATTTTTTTATCCCCCTGAACTATTTAATAGTGTATTTTAAAGGTATATATGTGCCCACGTGGACACATTACTATTTATAATTTTGCATTATTTTTTATGTCCACATGGGAAAATATTTATGTTTAAAATACGGTATTAAATAGTCTAGGGAGGTTATAGGTCCTCATGAAAGTTTAGTATCGCAACAACAAATCTGACCAAAGTTGGGGTATTTTTCATACCCTCATCCCAAAATAAAAAGTCAAACTGAAATGACTTTTAAATCAAAAAAATAAAAAGTAGGGGGGGACCTACTTTTGGTTTTTGACTTATTTTAAGTCATTTTAAACTTATTTTAAGTCATTCTTGACTTTGCCAAACACTTCTCAATTTATTTTAAGTCATTTTTGACTCATTTTAAGTTATTTTTTATATTTGTCAAACACTTCGAGAAGTCAAAAATTAATTTAAAAGTAGGTCTGACCAACTTTTAAGTCAATTCAAACACCCTCTAAGTCCATAAGAGATCATTTTCAAAAATTCTACATATGGACCATATTTTTATGAGATTTGAAAAAAGTTAAGAATATGGTGTGTTTATTCCATTTTAGAACAATTTAAGGAAGTAAAAGCTTAATAAAACTCTGATTAAATTTAAATATGTTACTAAAATTTGATTATAATTTAAGGGTATTTATGCATTATCCCTTCTTTTAATATACTGTGATTTAGAGCTTAGAAGAATTGAAGTTAAAATACTTTTGGATACTTTGGTCTTGGCATCTTTATAATTCTCATAATGTAACTAAAAAAAAATACCAAATTCTCAGGCCCAAATAAATTTGGTATAATAATAAATTGGCAAAATGATCTGGTGGACTCTTGTACTTGTATATGTTTGTACTATGGACCCTTCTACTTATCCTTTTGTCATCTGAACCCTTGAATCCATCCAAACAAAATATTTTAAACACAATTTTTGATGTGGTATGATGCGTGTTGCACAAACACATACATGTTGGCAAAAAAATAAAATTTTAATCCACGTATGAATATTATATTCCACATACGTACTAAAAGAATAGGCATTGTTTCCAAAAAAACCTTGAAGATCTTTACTCATCATATTATTCAAAAACAACAACAACAAAACAATTAGACCAAAATAAACACATCACATCAATTCACAAAAACAAGATCTGGGCAAGGACAATAAAAAAACTTCAAATGATAAAAAAAAACCTTAAATTGATTGAGAAAACACACTTATTCCTCCTCTCAGAGAGATCTATGCAGCAAAACTCTCCCTTCACAAAGAAGAAAAACCAAATGGGTATTCAAACACAGAAGAAAAAAGGGTTATGCAAAGTTGGCCAAATATGAAAAAGGGGTACACCAAAGAAGAAGTGAATAATTGGAGTAATGGGGTTTCAAGATTGCATATTTTGGACCTCCCTTTTTCTCTCTTTGCCTGGAAAATGATTGTACTGTAATTTTATTTTTTTTGATTTTTTGATATTCTTTTTTTTTGTAGATATACAGAGAGACAATATATATATATACGAAAATGAAGAACAAAAAGAAGAAGAAATTCAGATAAATTTATATATTTATATGAAAACAGAGGTGTAGAGAGAGAAACTATGGAAGAAGAAGATATTGAAATGATGAAAAAAATTGAGTCTTTGACAGATGAAGAAGAGAGGCACCGACCATTCTTGTTTTCTTTTTTGGCTACTTTCTTTTTCTAGTATTTTTTTTTTGTTGGTAAAATAGGGTTTAATCAACGCTTTGGAGATGGTAAAGTTGTCATCACGTACTTTATATTAGTCTAATTTGAGTCATGACATTAGCTAAATACTTTTGTCGAGATTAGGTTGACTACATCGAACTGTCATCGTGGAGACCAACAAAAATACAATAGAATCACACACACAAAAGAGATGAGTAAATCAAAGAAAAAAATAAAAGAGAAGAAATTTGAAGAGACAAGATCAAGAAAAAGACAAGAAAAAAGCTCAAATTTGTCCAACAATGGTGTTAAGTGAAAATAAAGAAGAAGAGATGGTCTTTAAAGGTAAAAATCTGACTGTTACTGCCTTTTTAACTTGTCTCACGCTCTTGTTTTTTTGTATCACACGTTCCATGTGGAGTCTTTCCACATAGGATGCCACATCAAAAATTGTATTTAAAATATTGTGTTTGGATAGGTTCAGGGGTCCAGATGACAAAAGGGTAAGTAGAAGGATCCAGAATACAAACAGATACAAGTACAAGGGTCTACCAGACCATTTCACCTAATAAATTATTCATCCTTCTTACTTTTGATATGTATTTTTGTTAATTTCAACATATAGGCTAGGCAGTGCCTAATCACCACCTCCTTCATTCTTTCACCAATCACCATCAATATGTACAAATTTTATTTTTATTTCAGAATAATTATAATATGAATAAATCTTTGAAGGTCAATGATGCATGATTCAAATTTGCTTGGATATTGGATTTGACCTTCTACCCTCCTCCATTTAAATATGAGGATTT